GTGGGACTGTAAACTAGTACAACCTCTATGGAAAGTAGTATGAAGATATCTCAATGGTCTAAAAGTAGACCTACAGTTTGGTTCACCAATCCCACTAGTAGGTATTTATCCAAAGGAAAAAAAAGACATTTTATAAAAAAGAACCTTGCAGTCGAATGTTTATAGCAGGCACAATTCACAATTGCAAAGATGTGGAAACAACCCAAGTGCCCATTAATACATAGCTGGATTAATAAAATGTGGTATATGTATACTGTGGAGCACTACTCAGCTATAAAAAAAAATGGTGATTTAGTATCTTTTGTAACAACCTGGATGAAACTGGAGATCATTCTTCTTACTGAGGTATTGGAAGAATATTCAGTGTACCGCAAACACCACACGTACTCAATACTAAATTCGAACTAATCGGTCAACACTTATGTGCACATATGGAAGTAAAACTCAAGGGAAATCAAGTAGGTGGGAAGGGCGAAGAAGGGGATGGGCACTTCCACACCTGACGAGTACAGTGCACACTAATTGGGTGAAGGGTACACGAACAACTTTGACTCAAACTGTACAAAAGTAAACTATGTAACTAAAATGTGTGTACTCCTGTAATATTCTGAAATAAAAATAAATAAATAATGCTATAAGTGACTTAACGTCCACCTTAAAATCCTAATTAGATAAATTATGATACAATAATATCATACATAAGCATATCATGTGCAATATACCATACATAGGAATTCTACGTAGCCATTAAAGAATGAGATACAGTATGTCACAATATACCAATAAGATGTTCAGGATGTATTAAATGAAAAAATAAAGTGGTGGAACGGTATGGTATGTCTCCAGTTGTGTAAGAAAATTAAGTAACTTTAATATACATTTGTACATACAGAGTTATATGTGTATAGACAATTTTTGAGAGGATATTTAAGATACTTCTTGAGTTGGCAAGGACCTACACATGCCTCTTATATAAGAGACTTAAACTTTTCAGTTTATACTCTTTTGTCTTTTTTGAATTTTTTTCATAACTGCATATTATTTTTACAGTAAAAACCACACAAGCTAAGATTTGGAACCACAATGTAGGGGATTCAGGGGACCGGGTGGACGCAGACCCTGCCAGGAAGAGGGAAGATAGAAGAACAGCCTCTGCCCTGCTGAGTTGTGTGCTTTTTATATAGGCCGATATCTGGTTCTTCAGTGTCCCTCTTACCTTTCTCGGGGAAGTGGGGGAGCCCACAGGCTTGAAGTAGTTGGGGCAAAGACCTCATGCCTCCCCTACTTCCAAGTTCTGTGTTCCTGCAAAGCCCCTTCCAAAGGGCAGAAGCTTGGGAGGAGAATGGATAGAAGATAATCATCATCACTCCAAGATGTTTCTGAGTTTCTCTCACTTCCAAGTGTTTAGTTTCCCAATGAATAGGACTGTATTTAAGGGGGTCTGTTCACTGGGGGTCAGTACTGTGCAGTGGTCAAGAAGACAGATTCTGAGCCAAATTGATGGATTCCAAATGCAGCGCTACCATAGTCAAATTACATAATCGCTCCATTTCCTTAATCTTGGGTTCCTTACTTGCAAAATGGGGATAATAGTACCCATCTTACAGGTTTCTTGTGAGAAATAAGTGAGTCATAACTATGAGCGAGAGGTTGAAACAGTGCCTGCATATAATAAGTGCTATGAAAGTCTTTTTTGTTATCTTGCCATTATTGTTATCATTTGACTGGGAAGAATACTTTTAAAATAATGATTAAAATTTTAACTGGGTTTAAAATTGTACATTTTTATTTTATACATCATACTTTACATAGAACACATTTCTGTTAATTTAAAAACATAACTTTATGTGCATTGAGTCATTCTCATAAGCTTGGTTACTTACAGTATTTTTTTTTTTTTTTTTTTTTTTGAGACAAAGTCTCACTCTGTTGCCTGGGCCAGAGTGCCATGGCATCAGCCTAGCTCACAGCAACCTCAAACTCCTGGGCTCAATCCAATTCTCCCCTCGTAGTCTCCTGAGTAGCTGGAACTACAGGTGCGTGCCACCACCACACCTGGCTAATTTTTTCTATTTTTAGTAGAGATGGAAGTCTCACTCTTGCTCAGGCTGGTCTCAAACTCCTAACCTCAAGCAGTGTTCCTGCCTCGGCCTCTTAGAGTGCTAGGATTACAGGCGTGAGCCATCGCGTCAGGCCTAATGTCTTGAGAACCATTTTTCCCATGTTATTTTGTGCAGTTATTTATCTTGTCAGTTGTTTCAAGTGAGAAGGTAAATCTGCTCCCTGTTGCTCCATCTGGGCCATAAGTGCCTTAGGCTTTTAACTTTTAAAAAGTTTTTTTTTTTTTTTAAAGAAATAGGAGTAAAAATAATCCTTGTTCACCCCCTACCAGTCTGAAGTTCCAGAGGCAGCTGTGCTGAACGCTTGGGTAGCCTTTTTCCTGTGTCCCCCCAGGTCCAGCTCCCCTCCCGCCCCACTCAGGGAGGCCCCATCTGACCCGCTCTCCGCACGGCACCCTCGTCAAGCACCATCTCTTCACACTGCAATATTGCTCGTTAAAGGACTGATGATTCCTGAAATCATGATATTTGCTCATGTTTTTGGAGTCAGCCTGCCTCGCTGGATAGGGTGCAAGCACCTGGAAGGCTGGGCTGTCCTCTGTCGTGTTCACTGCTGAATCCCTGAGCCTGGAACAACTCCTGCGCATATCCTAGGCCCTCCGTGATATCTGCTGAATAAACAAGCACATGCCTGCCAGATAGAGTGCTGAGTGCTTCACGCTGTCCTGTGATGCCAGGCAGACAATGACTAGTTTGCAAAGAGAGAAAAGCAAGAAAAGGGTTTTCCAGGCAGCAGGGACAACATATGTACGAAACTCAGAAAAACTTAAAAAAAAAAAAAAAAAAGGTCTGGTATGGTAGTCAGGAAATAGGATTTATTAAATTGACTCCATTCCTTGCTTCACTTTGTCATGAAAATCCTAATTAACCAACTTCCTTTTTAAGATGTTTTCTCAAAATTTAGAAGAAAAAAGTCATGACGGTACCGGGTATATCGTGTACTTTTTCAACAGTGACATAAATATTAGAATTAAAGTTTATCACAGACTTTCCTGCGTGTGTGTATGCGTGTGCACCTCCACCTTCCCCTCCCCGCGTGCCCCTCACTTGCGTGTGGAAAGTATCTGTGCAACTTGGTAATGGAGCCATCTGATAGTGGACGGGATGATGTTGCGTGAAGCGGACTCTGTGTGACATGCCTTATCCCTGGCCTTCAAGAGGGGGCACTTCGAGGGGTGACCCAGTAGGTTGAGCCTTACTGAGACTTCTCCCTGTTCTATAGATTCTGTGCCAAACATGCTGATTAAGGTGGTGGTTTTTGTAATGAAGCCTTAAGTAACTAGAGCCAGAACATAATTTCGTTCATTTCATACAGCTCAGCAGGTGGAAACTACTTTCATGTCTACCACATTGTCCTGATTTCAGTCTGGGATGAGACACTAAAAAGGGGGCTCTGTAGCCTATTAAACAAGCCCCCAAGTTAAAACTGTGTTTGTGTTCTTGGAGTATTTTCCTGATTCTATTTCTGGCAGGGTCTTTGAAGAATAATTTTCTTTGTTGAATTAGTAAACAGAATTTTTTTAAAAAAATAGTGTATATATACTGGAGAGTTTGAAACATATGCATGTGTCTTTAGAAGAAAGTATTTTTACTAATTTAACAAAGAAAATTATTTATTTATGGGAATTTCTTGAACAGACAAATGTTAGTAAAAATTTACCACTTAATAAAAGCAAGTTTCTTAAACTGAGCCATGCAACAGAAGATTTTGTTTCTGATTCAGAGAAGCACAAAAATGCAAACAGATTTTATGTTTGATGACATAATTCCTGGCTTTCTAAAACAGTCATATTTACATATAAGGCAGAAATATAAACATAAGGATCTATTTTCATAATGAAAGTATGTGACTTTGTATCTCATATGCTAAATTTAAGTAGTTCTTATTTTTAGGTTTAAAGTAAGCATAGTTTAAGCACTCTTTAGTGTTATGTGACCTCACTGTAGCTTAGTTTTGTTTTTGTTTTTTTCCAGAAGAGCAATTGAAATAGAAAATTAGGTTTATTGAGTAACTGAACAATATTCCTTCATCTCGGTGTTTACAAACTGTTCACTTAGCAAAACAAAGGTCCAATACAAACTCTTGAAATGACAGAGCACCTTCTCTTTAGTTCCTGCCAACCAACCCTCCCTACCCGACCTTAACATTGTATTTTCATGAGCATTTCACAATATTTCTCATCCCTTGTTCCCAGTCTTGACCTACTGACCCAAAAATCAAGAAAATGTCATGTTAGTGCCTACTAATTAGTGCACCCAGAGAGCCTTTTCGTCTGGCCTTTCAACCTTCTGGAGGTAGGAGCACAAGCTGTCATTCGTATCATGCAGGGAAAATGAGCCTTTACTACATTTTTCCCTGTTTTGCAAACACCAGAATAAGCCCAGCTGAGACTAGAGATGAATATGCAGGTTAGGAAGAAATTAACCTAAAATGCACTACTGTTTGCATGATTGTTTTATAGATGACATAGTACTACCTTCCTGAAATTGCCCATAATGGAGCGCTGTGAGCCTGAGATTTTTACCAGAGCAGTGCTGTTGCATATCACTTTTATTTCAACACCATCACATTTATTTGGTGAAATCCTTTTAAGCAAAAAAATATTTTCTGGTTAACATATTAAGTAGTGTTTTAATGGATTCAAGTTTCCCTTGTTTTGAGACACATTTTTAGAGAATACTGTAGTTTGTTAGTGAGCGTTTGGTTCGAGTGCTCATTAATCAGTGCTGTTGGGCCAGGGTCTCCTGAGCCTTCCAGGTTTTGGGGGAATCAGCTACTGTAATTAAAGGGATGAAATATATCATGGTCACAAACTTACCAGATCAGACAATTGAAGGTTTTGAACTAGTAAAATTAATCTTTTTAATTTTTTCCTCTAGGTGTTTAAGATAGAAGTGCTAATGAATGGAAGAAAACATTTTGTTGAAAAAAGGTACAGCGAATTTCATGCTTTGCACAAAAAGGTAAGCTTTTTTTTTTCTTTCCTTTTCTCTATATGGCAGATGGTATAACATTAAGACTGTTCTGTGGTTCTAAGTGTTAATATTTCTTGTGTATATACAGTTTCTTTTATCATGAAGTAAATTTCCTTTTAAAATAAATTATTCAGTCCCTTAAAGGTGTGCTTTTTGAGTAGGTGGGTTTTCTTTTAAGATTGTCTACTCCTCATTTGTAAAGTGAATATCAAAAAAAAATTAAGATTTGCATATAAAAATCTGAGGATGCTAGCTGTTTGCAGTATGCTACGTTGGATGTTATAGGTTCAGAAAGAATAAGACCCAGGCCCTATTTTGTCTATGAAATACACTTAATGTTCTTTACAAAAAGGAAAAAAAACAGCAAATGATCATTTTGCAGGAAAAAATTTATTAAACTCATCTTATACTTACACGTACCTGGAAAAGATCATATATATGTACATGTGTACTCAGTGACTAGGAACACATGTAAAGAGGCTCATAGCCTTGTTTTGAATTGTAAAGGGCCACTTTACAAAACTGATGTTTCAATTCCTGATCCACTTCATTTAAAGTCTTAGAGAAAAGAAACAAATGCAAAAGGAATAGCTGAGTTTTGGGGAGAAATGATCAATAAAGAATAAATGAATGAATAATTTTTATTTTCTACCCAAATTTAATTTTTTGCAGGTGATAAATTATTAGAATCCCGAAATTATCTTAATAACTAGAAATGCCTCATGAAATTGCCCAGGAAATCACCATGTATGATCCAATATAATTTTACTATTTTTCTTTCATATATACATTGAATTATATATGTACATATTCATATATATACACATGTACATGAAATATATATACACACACTATATGACAATTCAGTTTCTTCACTTTGTTAGGTAAGAAGTTAGATGGTTAGATATTAAGTATGTTAAGAAAGTGTCTATTTCAATTTCATTAAAAACTTCTTAAATTTTCTGAGAAATGTCAGTACATAAATGATGTGATAGTGTGCTAGCTCTGTATTAAAATTTTTTTAGCATTTTTAAAAATTAAGCTGTCTCTCTTTTAGTCAAGAGAATAGAGAATTGAGTATGAATTTTAACAGGACATTATTGAGAGATTATCAAGACTATTTCCCTCTGCTTTCTTTTAAAGGGGGCTCCAAGTTATCTCTACACTGTTGCGTCAGGAGGGCACGGGCTAATTCACTTCAGTTCTCCAATTGGCATTTTGTTAAATCCAGGTTACGTCCACAAGAAACAGTACAGGTGAATACAGTTTAGACCAGGTGTTGCCAGCAGACTTTACAAAAGCACCAATCCTGGGGGTTTCCAAGAGAAGCAAACCCAGAATCTGGCTCTCACTTCCTTCTCGTGGAATTCTGTTTTTGTTTGTGTGTTTTTGGAGGAAACGGATTCTAGAGAGGTCTCTGCCGTGGACCTGATGAAGTAAGTCCCTGCGACTGAGATTAAAGCCAGAACCCAACCTGGCCCAGCCTCTGCTGGCCTAGACAGCCTGTCACATGCAGGGCGCGTCCCAACTTCCCGGGTCAGCACCCAGCACGCCATGACCCCACACAGCTCAGCTGTCCTCTGCAGGTACTCGGGGACCAACTCCATGCGAGGCACAGCTGGGTGACTGCCAATTAGGCCCGCCCGGGCTGCCCAGGCTTCGAGAGTGGGGGCCCCCTCAGCCTGCTCTCCCTAATACGATTTATTTCCTCCTGCAGAAGAGGGCCCTCACCCCAGGGATCATAGGCAGTTCCTAGATATTCATGGTCAGAAAAAAACTTCTAGATCTTCCGGGACTCGCTCTTCTCTCAATTTCTACAGTTGTATTAATAATGTTAGCTAGTCTTAAATAATGAGGCCTACCAGAGTTAATAAAGCAGAAATTCTCTCAAATCTCTCAATTTTGCATATTCTTAGCAGCCTTGTTAAAATGTTAGAGACATCCTTCCATGATCATAGAGATAAAAATAGCTTTGTGGGGCGGAGTTTTCTTGGGATACGCGATCTAATCTTATGGATTATAGAGGGAGTAGCAGCTGCTTGAAGTCTTTTTCACTTGCCCATTGTGATTGTATTAGAGTTGACAAAAAAGGCAGTAACTCTAAAAGGCAGTTAAATGAAATTAAATACAAGTAACGGTAAGAGTTTAAAAATGAACAAAAATTGGTGATCATGACTGTAAAATTGTCTGCTAAGAAAGACTAAAACAGGTAAAACTTTAATCAGAATACACAGGCTTTACTGATTGTTGCTGCCCCATTCTGCAACTCTATCCTTCATTGCAAATTTGGTATCTTCAATTTCCATATTTGAATTTTGTGATATGCTTTGAATGTTATATTTTAACATAAAACATTTTCCCTTTAAGTGCAGTTAAATCCATTATCATTTAATTTTCTTGAAATGTTCAACTGTGTTTCCCCTATAATTTGTTTATGAAACAAATTATACTTGTTTATTTAGCAAACATGCATGTTGCCTTATTGTTGTTTTAATACAGGGTCTTGCTCTGTCACCTGGGCTAGGGTGCAGTGGCATGATCATAGCTCACTGCAACCTTGAACTCGGGACTCAAGTGATCCTCCTGCCTCAGCCTCCCAGATAGCTGAGATTGTAGGTACACATCACTGTTCCTGGCTAATTTTTTTATTTTTTATTTTCATAGAGATGTGGTCTCACTATGTTGCCCAGGTTGGTCTGGAACTCCTGGCCTCAAGCTATCCTCCTGCCTGAGCCTCCCAAAGTGTTGGGATTATAGGCTTGAGCCGCCACACCCTGCCTTACCTTGTTTTAATTGGTATTTCTTAAGTTTCTTTAGGAGTTATAGTCCCTCTTTTTTGAGTCATCTATTTATGTGCTTTCTCCTTTATCTGCTGTGGTCTTGGTTGTTTTTACTTATTAGTTTGTGTGGCCTGTTAATGAAATATTAGCCATTTGCTGAAAGTATTTTTTACCAAAGGCCTTTTTATTTTGGTTATGGTATTTAAGTTAATGTATAAAAGTTTTAAATTTTTATATTGCCTAATATGTCAATTTTTACCCTTTCAGATTTTATCTAAAATTAGTCATTTCTTTCAGAGCTATGATGAGTATTTGATTCCATTTTCTTTTAGTTTTCCTGAATTGGTCTTTTTCAAAGTTGAACATCGGATCACCTGAGGGCAGATTCCTGGGTACCACTCAGACATACTGAGTCAGAATCTTTGTGATGGAGCCCAGATGCTCTTAATTGCTGTTGAAGTCTGGGAGTTCCTATTGTGTGGTTGTGTTTAAAAGGCATCACTTAGACATGCCCCTTGCCACCCTGTTCCATCACACGCACTGAAGCCACAGGTTTAGAACCATGCATCTCAAGGTTTTAAACCTAGAAGGTCCTTCTACCTTTCTGTTACCCTGCGTTATCCAGAATGTCACTAAGTCCTGTTGATTTATTCTTCCAAATGTCTATAATATGCACCACTTTTCATTTTCTGCTCCTACCATCCCAGTCTAATCTTACCACTTTATGTTAGTGGTGCTTTAACCATTTCGGATCCCTATCTTCTTATCTGTTCTCTGTTGCAGACAGGTTTTCCTAAAGCACCATTTTCGTCTTCACACAAATACACTGAAATAGGTCTTTGTTATCTACCACATCACAGACATTGACTCTCAAGGCCAATAACCTTAAACCCTGTATTAGTTTCCTATTGCTGCTGTAACAAATCACCAAAAACCTAGTGGCTTCAAACAACACGCATTCAGTATCTTCCTCGAACTTGGTCAGTGGGGCTACGTTCCGTGGGGGGACTCGAGGATCTGTCCCCTGCCCTTGTCCGGGTTCCAGAGGCTGCCCGCATTCCGAGACTCTCGGCCCTCTTCCACCTTCAAAGGCAGCGATCACCTCGCTCCACCCTCTGCTTCCACCCTAACATCTCCTGTGGTCACATGTCCTCCCCCTGGGGTGACACTGGGCCCATCCAGGATAATCCTCCCATCTCAAGACCCTTAATTTAATCACATCTGCAAGGCTCCTTTCCCAGGTAAGCGAATATAGATTCAGGGGATTGGGACTTGGACATCTTTGAAGGAACCGTTATTCTATCTACTACTAACCCCTTTACTGGCCAACCTTATATCTACTCCTAAGAAATCTTCAGTGACAGCCGAGCCAGTCTCGCCCCTTACCCCATCACATGCTGTGAAATCACTACCCATCTGCCTTTGCCATGCTGAATGTCCCTCCCCATGTGCACTCATCTGTTCAAACCAAACCAGGACATTTGCTTCAAGTTGTCTTTCTTCTGCGTTAGCTCCCTTTATTCCCTAATCTTTTTGTTCTTGGACTCCTGTTTCATTTAGAATAGAGATCTATACTTGAACATTAGAAACAATGAAGTTTCTAACAATTAAAAGATAATTGCAATTTAGTTATCCCTAAATGTTGTCTAATTAGAAGAGCCTTTTTTTAAAGTAGGGACCATGTCTTATCTCTTGTATCTTCCACACTCTTCGGCATTATTTAATGCCTATCAGGCATTAAATAAGTGTTTGGCAAATGGGATATTTGGAGAACATCGTGCGTATTTGTGAATTGCCGGAGGAACATTTGGCTGGGAAGGAGAGTTTCTGTTGTGGGGGTTACATTCACTGTGAAGTGTGACCCCAGGTTATGCTTGCCCTGATTTCTCTGTAGCTCCTACTCTGCTAGCGCTAGCTGAGAAAGACACCACCACCACCACACTGAAACAAAACACACCCCATCCTCCCTTGGTGACAGCTCAGGCACAGGCTCTGGTGACAGGGCGAGCCTTCAGGCTTGTGAGTGCTTCCCCTGTGCTCCAAACGCCCGGTCCACACCCTGCCACGGCTGAGTGACTCGCCATTGTAAATGCTGGTGCTTGAAAGGAGCTTTACCGTCCTGGGCCCAAACTCACACGACTGGGCAGAAAAACCTTCCGTGCATTGCAGGCTGCGAGCATATCTTATTTTACGTGCCTGCCCAGCTGTTTTGTGTCAATCGCAGCCCACCCTTTTATCCACAAAGCTTTCAGGCAATGGTGGTGCTGGTTCAGGTTTAAATTAACCGTCTTCTCTTTTGTTATTGCCTACACTGGGCTTCATTCTCTTATATTTAGTTCCGCGAGGCACACATTTCAGAAGAACCCAAAAACTGCCATGTGGTGTCAAAGCAATCGTGCGGCACCCTGTGCAGTGTCTCTAACGGGGACCCTGAGGAAATCGGGGTGACAGATGGGGGGAAAGATTAGATTTTACCCCCAAGTGTTCCCTACTTCTTTAACCTTTGTTTTTCTTTTTCATTCTTTTTATTCATGTGCTTGAGAATAGTATTTCTGATCCTTTCTGTGGAAGACGGCTGCCATAACCAGTGTATGTGATGGCAGGTCTGTACGAGCTAAGTTCTGTGTAAATTCCCCAAGCAGTATGGAAAGGAAAGGGAGTGGTCACACCAGGAAAAAGGGATTGTGTTCGTGGTATCCTGGAATCTGGTACTTATCTGCGGGGATCAGGAAGGCCGTTTGCCTGGACACAGCGTGGCCAGGACAGTTAATCATCGGAAGAAGCGGCAGAGGAGTATTTATCTTGCAAGCAGCTGAGCCTTACTGGAAACACATTGTCTCGGGTTTGTCTCTCATCTAAAGCAATTCATTACTCACCTACAAATGCTGTCACAGACCCTACCCGCTATGATGATCCGCTTCCTTGGTACTCCTGACATAAATAAAAAGGAAAAACGTTTTCAGTGCTATATCTCCAAGATTTTTGTTATCAGAAGAAAGATAATGGAGTTGATTTTCTATTCTGAAATATATGTTGTGCTTCAATAATTTTAAACTAAGTTAGGTTATGTTTAAATCAAAACTTAATAAGCTTATTACCACAGAATAACTTAGCTTTTGGCCTTGTTCCCATTGAGAAATACCTCCAGTGGTGCAGAGATGAGATATGTATGTACTCCTTTGCAGGCATCATGAATTTCCATCCTCCTCCTTTCTCTTGCATTGTCAGTTTCCCCCTCAATACTGACTCAGTCTCCTTGATAAATGAGCCTGTTACAGTAGCTCCTATTTAACAAAATAAAACCCACCTTTGGCCCTGTGCTTCCCTTCCATGTTTATCCCATTGCACTCTTCCTGTTTCAGTATAATTCCTTGATAGAAGAGCCTCCATGTGGCCGCTTCCCTTCTCTTTGCACCCACGTTATCGACTTCCTGTCCTCACCTGGCACCTGATCACGCCCGCCTTCTTGAAACACTTTCCTGACGGAAGTTACTTTCCACCCCCTCCTCACTGAGTGCCCCGTTTCTCCTCCTGCCTGTTGGAGCTGGGTGTCTCAGACCCTCACCCTTGTGTTAGTTGTCCACTGCAGCCTAGCAAATTACCACAAACGTAGCAGCTAAAAACAACACATTTATTACCTCACAGTTTCCGTGGGGCAGGAGTCTGGGCACAGGCTTACTGGTTTTCTGCTCAGGGTCTCACCTGGCTGAAATCGCGGTGTCTGCCAACGCTGTGATGTTCTGAGACTCGGGTTCCTCTTCATACCCACGCAGGCAGAATTCGGGGGCTTGCAGTTGCAGGACTGAGGTCCCTGTTTTCTTGCCAACTGGAGGCCAGGGGCTGCTCTCAGGTCCTAGCCATGTGGCCCTTTGGTCACATGACACTTACTTCTCTAAAGCCGGCAGTCTGCTAGGACTAAGTCATATATAACATAACGTAATCCTGAGAGTGACTGTCCCACCATGTTCTCAGGTCCTGCCCATGCTCTAGAGGAGGGGATCGCACACAGTGTGTACCCCAGGGGACCATTTTGGGATTCTGCCCACCACAGCCCTTTTGCTCCATCCTTACCTAACTCTCAATGTCATCTCCTCTAGTTCCATGGCCCTAAATACCACTCACATATCCTGATTTGCAGACTCATATCCAACGGCCTGCCCACCATCACCACTTGGATGCCTGTTGGGCATCTCTGACTTAAAATCCTCAGAACAGAACAATTGGTTCCCTTATGTTAGGGCTGTCTTTGGTTGCATATAAGAGACACTTGACTAGGTTTCTTTAACAAGTAAGAGATGTTTTATAGGAAAGTTAAAGGCAGGCAGTCCCACAACATCCATGTTCCAGGCTCCTCCTGTCTTCCTGCTTCACCGTCCTCACCTTAGCAAGTGATTTTCACCCTTCTGGTTACAACCTAGTTGCCATTCCTCCAGGCACTGCTTCTGGATTTGTGGCAGGAAGAAGAGGTGATTTTTTTTTTTTTTTTTTTGGTTAGGAAAACAGGAGTCTTTATATACCCAATATACTTGTACTACATTTCATTAACTCTATCACATGGTCACCCTAATTACAAAGGAACTTGGAAAACCAAGGTATTCAGCTCATCATGAATAACATTGGAATTTGGGGTTTTTTGGTTTTTTTTTCTCTAAGAAAAAGGAAGGAATGACTATTGGGTAGACAGCTAGAAGTGCCATACATTATTCATGTTGGATTAGATTTGGCTGCAAATGACTCTAAAACCAAAATAACGGTGACATTAACAGGTGCAACTTTGTTCCTCTCTCACATAGATGTCTAGGGCTGGTGTGGCAGTTTCATGATCTTCAGGGACCCAGGCTCTTGTTGCTTTGCCATTTTCACCATGAGGTTTCTACCTCAGGGACAGTGGTGGCTGCTGCAGTTCCAGCCATTTCACAGGCTCCTTCTTCTTCATGATGTATGACAAATTTCAGCTTAGCATGGTTAATGGTGAATGTATTCTTATATATGGGAAGAATTTCTTATTACAGATCAGACTGCCCAGGTTTCATTGTTTGCATTTTCTTATTATTATGCTGTTTCTTTGCATGCGTAGTAAAGCAGCAACCTTGGCAGGTTTTTCCAAGTTTTTAATTAGACCATTAAAATTCATTCCATTTTTAGAGGCCTGTATTAGTTTGTTATTGCTGTTGTAAAAAATTACCTTAAACTTAGTGGCTTTAAAAGACCCAAATTTATTATCTTACACTTCTTGAGGTCATAAGTCCAAAATGAGCTTGATTGGGCTAAAATTGGGGTATATTCTTCCAGGACTATATTCTTCCTGGAGGCCCCAGGGCAGAATCCATTCCCTTCCCTTTCCAGCTTCCAGGAACTTGCCTTCCTCCTTTGTCAGAGTCTCCTGATCTCTTTCTGACTCTGACCCTGCTGCCTCCCTCTTCTAAAGATCCTTGTGATTATTACATGGAGCCCACCTGGATAATCCAGTATACTCTCCCCATTTTAAGATCACTAATCTAATCAATCTGCAAAGTCCCCTTTGCCATGTAACGTAACATTCACAGGTTTAGGATTTGGACATCTTTGGGGGAGGGAGATTATTCTGCCTACCACAGGCAGCTCTAGTTTAACTTCCAATATAATTTTTCTTTTGTCCCCTAAAACTGTTGCCAGGAAAGACCTAGCTAAGAACCCTCATTCTGTTTTCATGAACAGAATTTGAACCTAAACTGGGTGTATGGTGCATGCCTATAGTTCCAGCCACTGGGGAGGCTGAGGCAGGAAGATTGCTTGAGCCCAGGAGTTTGAGGTTGCAGTGACCCATGATGACGCCATTGCACTGTAGCCCAGGCAACAGAGCAAGCCTAATTGTTAGGAATATTGGAAAGATTGGCCTCTGTGTTTTTTAGCTCCCTCTCCAAATGATGTCATATGTCGTTGCTCATATGGCATTTCTAGGGACAAGGGTTATGAACAATTACATTTGTTTTGCTTTCTTTATGGAAAGAATATGTAGAAAGCCTTATCATAAAAGTACTTCAAGCAAAATTTTGTTGTAATGGATTTTTGAAACTAAATTTACTTTCTTTTTAACTTATTTACTGGACTTTTTACTTTTTTTGGAAAAATAACTCCAATCGGAAATATCCACAATAACATCTGCCAAAATACAAAACCCTTATCCTGAAACCTGAACAATTAGGACACCTAAATAAAGAATTTTTAAACAAAATTTCAGTATAATTATATTTTCCTATGTTTTATATTGAAGACAGCAGTGGTTCACTTTTTTTATTGGCCTTTTTTTCCCCAAATAATGTCATTATAATTAACAGACATCTCTCTTTTTTTCTGTTATGTCTTTATAGCTTAAGAAATGTATAAAAACCCCAGAAATCCCTTCTAAACATGTGAGGAACTGGGTCCCAAAAGTGTTGGAACAACGACGACAAGGTTTGGAAACATATTTACAGGTAAGATATGTTTAGTTCCTCAGTTAATATAATGTAGCTTAAATAATCATGTGTCTATATTTTCTCAGGATGTAATGCAAAAATATATCAAGCAGGCAAAGATTCTAAATTTAAGGAAGTTCAAAATTATAAATATGTCATTAACTGGTTCTTTTAGCTGTAATTAGGTTCTGTTTAAAATTGGTTATATGTATCGCGTAAGTAAAATTATATTATAAAGGTTAAAACTAGTGTAGAGGGAGGATCTGTCCATTTTTTAACCCAACTCTACAGATTACTTTGTTTTTGTTTTTGTTTTTTGTTTTCCCTCCAGGACTTTTGCTTCCTCATAGCAATCCCAGCCTTTAGGTTTTGGGGTTTGTGGGGCTGGTTGGAGTACTGCGAGAAACTGAATTTTCAGTGGGCCTGGCTAGTATGGAATCAAATTGAAAATGAGTGTATAAAAAACACCTATGATGAAGTGCCAACTTCTTTGAAAATGTGTGTCTAGAAAGAACGCATTAGGATGCTCTTCTCTGCAGCTGAGAGGAGCAGGCAGAGCTGTCTAGTTGAGAGGAGACAAAGGCGGTCTCTCCACCAAGTGACAGAAGCAGCAAAAGGAGAAGGTTGAGAAGTATCAGCTTCTCTGAGTTTTAGAACGGAAAGGCTGAGGAGACTCAGGTGAATATTCATGGTAGTCGTTAAGTCCAAAGAGCAGGTGCAGGGCAGGTGCTGGGACAGGCTGGCCTGCAGGTGGGGCGGGGGCTGGTGCCCTGGAGCATCTGGGTCCACTTGAGAGGCATGCATGAGCACGGGGGAGGCAGAATCTCAGCTCTCAAAAAAGAAGAGCGGGACTGCACCTGAGAGCTGCGAATGTGTGACTGAGCCCTCTAAGGCGGCAAAGAACCCGGCAGCGTGACTGTGCTGTCCCTTTGGCGTCTCCCCAGGTGGATCCTGTTTAGGAGGGAAGCTGGGGACCGTGTAGAGCCTGTGTGCCGTTCCTACAGAGCTCTCACCATGGCTGTGCCCGAATCACTGGTGATTAAACGCTGAGGAGAGGCTGACTCCTCAGGGTTGTACTTAGTGACAAATCCTGAGGACTCTCGCGGTAGAAAGGTGCCAGAGTCGGCTGCTGGCCTCCTGCAGTTCTCCTGGTCTTTGCAGTGCTCAAACAGGAGCCTGACTGCAGAGGCCCCTGAGACACCTGAGGAGGGCTCTCTCTACTCTTTTTGCTCTTCTGCTGTTGGGCTTGGTGGAAGAATCCTTCACTGCCTGTCCCTGGGGCTGAGAGCTTAAAGGAAGTGGAGCTCACAAATCACAGGAGTGTGTGTGGCCGTGGTTTTTGAGACTCTGTAAGAAGAGCGGTGACACTTCCATAGCCCCAGGCAACACTGCAGAGCAAAACACAGACCGAAAAACCAAAAAATGAGGCTTCAGAAATTGTATGCAGAGGATAAAAATGCATGTTCTCTGTAATTAAATGGAATAGGTAAACAATGCATTTTTATTTGTAAGCCAGATTTTCCACAGATATTGTATATCTTCAGGCTTTAGTTCTGAATAAAGCTTTACTCTCTTCCCCTCACTGTATTTGACACATGACTTCCATTACTACTCAGTGTAAACACTGTAAGTTGTTTGTACTTTGGATATAAATATGTGCATAAAATCATCTGGCACAGAGAGGAGTTTATAGTGACACTCAAATTGAGCTTAGAATTTTCTATTCTCAGAACTCGGGCTTGAAAGATGCGGGTCGGAGGGCCGAGAGGGCTTGCTTCCTGTTGTGCATTTAATAGTCAATTTGTTGTCACTTAATTCCCAGAGGAGTTCACGGGAGCTTTCCCTTCTCCCTTTTCCACCTCATTCTATTTCCAGATAATAGGAGCTGGATAGAACGAGTGTGGAAATGCCACAGTACAAGTAATAGTCTTGCAGCATCCTGGATAGGTTCTAATAAGTGAATTTATAATACCTTCAAAAACTTCTGCCAGCTTAGAAATTTCCAAATGGTCATTTTCACACATTGTAACAATATGATAATAGCAACCACAGCTAATGCTATTTAGTATTACTTGCCCAGAGATTTAAAACAAACAAACAGACAAACAAAACAAAACAAAAACCAGGTAAAATGAAGGCTCCATGAGTGAGTTTTTATTTTTTAAGTATATTTCTGAACCATAATTACTTTCCTATTTAAATTTCCAAATGATTTTGGTTTGAAGAAAATTCCAAAACAAAACTTACTAAATGTCTAAGGATATACAGCATCTTAGAATCAAAATCTAGAAATAACCAAAAAGAAGATAAAAGTTACATTTTGCATTTGACTAATTAGAACTATAGCAGTCTACCTGATGAATAGTGAACTTTCATTTCTAGGATCATTTTGTACTTATTGAATAGGAAATCAAGTAGCTATTACTTGTCATGTTTTTTTATCTACTCCTCCTTAAATAATACACCCCAGGAAACACTGAAGTTTAATGAAAGAGGATTGATCATCTATAAATGTAGAATTAAGCAAAACAGTATCTTTCTACATGAATGGAAGGAAGTTAATTGGTTTTCATCCCAACAAAAAGTCTGTGCCAAATAAAGATTTTTTTCTAGTAACAAACTCTTCATTTTCCAAGTTATATAAACTAGAAATTCATCTACTTCATGGGATGTTTTATATTAACTTGAAGGTAAAAACAAGTTAATATTTGATATTAATTTACCAACAAATATATGTTTGTATATAGTTTTGCTTAATGATAAGCATTCTTCAGGCACCTGTGGTGTTTGAGGCAGGTTAGATCTAGCTTCAGAGAAACCTTGAACTGTAGCCCAAATTAAATTACTGTAGTTATCTTATCCATCTTGCTTTCTCACTGCCCGTGGTATGAGCTTCATCTGGCCCCCTGATGGTACAAAAGGGCTGCAGCAGTTCCAGACCTCACCTACTCACACCATATACCAGAGTACAGGGGAAGGGTAGGGGTCTCTTTCAGTAGATGTCACAGAAGAAAGAAGGAAGATCTTTCCTTAGGGGTCCCAGCAGATGTCTTCCCTCATCCCGTTGGCTTATATTTGTGTACATGTCCCTCCAACCTCACCGTGGCCAGAGATCTCTGACTGAGTTAAACGAATCAAGGCCAACTCCTGAAGCTGGGGTGAGGAAGGGGTGATTTCCCTAAGGAATAACTAGGGTATTCTTGGTAAAAGAAAAGGAATATCCTGAGTGGGGGTGGGGACGTGGAGGGCAACCAGCAAATGCCCTCTACAAAAAATGATGATGCCCAGAAAATCTGAGTGAATTGCCCAAGGTTATGAAAAGGTAGGGACTTTCCTCAGACTGGAATTCAAAGCTCTTTCCTAGATAAATAAAATTTCTTAAAAATTTTAGTTACGAGTATCCTTGACTTTTCATTTAAAGACCAGAGACATTTCTTCCCTTCATTTTTGTTTTAAAAATATAAAATTATAATTCTCATTAACTAATATAATTACTTTTAGATCTAAAATTTTTAATTACCAATGAAGTTCTTAGCTAGAACATTAATGAATTTAACATTTCATAGTGTTTACCGGTTTCTGAGAAGAAGCAAAAATCTTAAGAATAAATTATTAATAATTGCAGTTTCCCAAATGGATGTGACCATCAAATACGGTTTAAATGGTAGTTTCGCCTTCTGATTTGAGATGACTTCCTGTCTTTCCTGAGATCCCCCCACGAAAATAAAAGTATAGAAAGTTAAGAAGGAATAAACCCAACAGTTAAGTAGTGGATGGGCAAAGAAAAGAGGGGGTTGTTAAAGGAATAAAAATGTGAGCGCCCTTCTGGGAGATAGCGTGTGCTGGGAGCAAGCGAGTGGGTACGAGGGGGAGAAGCCGCAGGCCAGGCCAGCCGGAGGCCCACAGTGGAGCTGGGAGGCCACCTGTGCTCGGGGCTGCAGGAGAGCCGTGGGGCCAGAGTGGGCCGGCGAGGCTGGCAGAGCTGGGCTGGGCAGTGAGGCTGAACACAAGGGGGTCTGTTCAGGGTGCAGGTTGAGTATGTTAATGCGACAATCTGAGAGCTGAAGTACTCCAAAATCTGAAACGTTCCGAGTGCCTGTGTGATGCCACAAGTAGAAAATTCCATGCATAAGTACTTCACATACACTTTGTTTCATGCACAAAATTATTAAAAATATTGTATAAAATTACTTTCAAGCTATGTGTATAAGTTGCATAAGAAACATAAATGAATTTCGTGTTTAGACTTGGCTCCCATCCCCAAGATATCTCATTATGCATAAGCAGATATTCCAAAATCTGAAAAAAATATGATATTCCTAACACTTCTGGTCCCGTGCGTTTCAGATGAGATGTCAACCTGTGTTTGCATGAAGCAGCTGCCCAGGCCACCTACTCTGTACAGAATACATGCAACCTGGTATCGATGACCAAATTTTTTAAAGAAGACTTTCCTCTTAAAAACAAAACAATAAAACAACGAAACATTAGACAGAATGGCTGGGTAGAGTTAAGGCTTCTAATGTGGCTATTAGGGCCCCCAAGTTGGTGACCCCCACCCTACTTACCCAGAGGAAAAGCCCACCTGCCCGTGTGCTCCATCTCACTCTTTCCAGGCCGGCAGGGCCCGGCGGGCGCTCCTCTGACATGGCAGCAGAGGAACCCACCCAGGACTCTTCCTTCAGTGTGAGCTAATGACCAGGCTTTTGAAGAAAACAAGTAGCATGAACAAAAAGACCAAGATGAACTAAAACTCTGACTTTTCAGAAAAGAGAAAATTCAGGACACAAAATATGTCTTAAAAATTGATGTAATACATCCAGAGAGCTTCACAAAGGTATTATATCGAAAAGATTAAAATAGGATGCTGTGTAAACAGAGCAATCTGAGAACATACAGGAATTCTTAGAATTAAATGTGTTGTCCAATTGAAAACACTCAGTAGATGCTTGGTTGGGAAACTATTCCATAAAATACAGATAGAAAAACTGTCAAGCAGAAGGCAACAGACATAGAGG